CTTTTTATTTTACTCAACGATGTAGTAGCACAGTGACAATTGAACTGCACCCCATGAAGCAGACATTTATCCTGTCAAGTCTCATTTCAGCCAGCAGAAAAAGTGGGGATTTTTTTTTTTTAAATTAAGATGTAAACCCTTTTCTTTTCTTTTCTCTTTTCTTTTCTATTTTTTTGAGACAGGGTCTCAAAAAATGTTAGCACAGGCTAACATTGAACTTGCAATCCTGCTGCCTCAGCCTCCCCAGTGCTAGGATTACAGGCGTGTATCACCACCACAGCTGAAAACTTCTTTTCTATAAAGATGAAAAAATGAAGTACTAGAGTAATTGTGAAAGAATCTAAGCCAGTTTAGAAGCTCTGAGCTCAAGGAATTTCTGTAAGTGTGTGTGTGTGTGTGTGTGTGTGTGTGTGCACATGTTTTTCTCCAGGACCCTAGCTGGCTTCTGGTGATTTAGAAAAAAAATTATTCCCTTTCTATGTGAAGGTATAAATTTTCTCTTTGCTAGGATATATTTGTTTGCTTGTTTTATCCAAACTCTTCTGTTAAATACCTAGCACACTTGTGAGAGCCCCTTAAACTGGGTTTTTCCCCATTGTGAGCTATTCTTGAGAAGAAGGAAGAAAAAGAAGTAGAGGGAAAGAATGGGAGGAAAGGTCAGGGTGAAAAACAGACAACATTTACATGATAATTTCCATATACCAGGCATCATTCCAAGCATCACACGCCTATGTCTCTGTTTTAGCAATAGGGAACAAAGACGTTAATTTGCCCAAAGTCACACAGGCAAGAAGAGGCAGAGCCAGGATTTGGACCCAGGCATCCTAGTTCCAGTCTGTTCTCTTAGCCATTACACTATACCACCTCTCAACTTAGGGACATGAAATAACTTTGAGAACTCTTATCTCTGAGGATATTGAGAAAGATGGTGCTTGTCATGACCCTGTTCCCAGGGACTAGATATGGTAGCAATCTAGCAAATGTATTGGGTACTCAGGGAAGCAAAGGTCCCCATTTCTTACCATGAACTTGGATCTGTTTAGCCACATCTTCATTGAAAGAACAAAGTGTGGGTCATGGGCACTAGTCAGCTAATAGTTACTGCAATCCCTGCTCCCAATTCCCTCCCACAAATCCACACTCTTACGTTGCATTTTTTAAAAAAGTATTTCTTATTTTCTGAATAAGTACTTTTGTACTCTTCAGATTTGGCTTAATACTATTGGCAGAAAGTTCCCCATCTGTGCCTTAGTATTTCTCAAGCAGATATTTGTTTAAAATGTTAAGAGCTTGTATCAACAGCCCAAAACAATAAAGGGCTTTATTTGACAACAAGGTATTTTCTAAAAACAAATGATTGTCCACTTACAAGACACTGGAATACTTCCCATACTACTATACACATGTCATTATTGGAAGCTCAAATGTCTATCAGTAGGAAAACCTCATACCAATGTTTGTAGGGAGATGGAGATGGGGAGGGGAAAAGGCAAGGAAACTGAGCGGTGAAGAGGATGGAGGTACACTACATATATACATAGGAAGAGAGCAGAATGAAACCCACCAAATACTGTTTGAAAAAGGAGAAAAGGGATGAGGGAATGGAACCATAATGGAGAGGGTGAACTTGTTCAAAAAGTACACTGTACACATGTATGGAACTATTACAATGAGATCCCCTCATATTATTAATGTACGATCATTTGAAAATAAAAATTTTAAAGAGCTTCCATCAAATTTCAACATACTTTCTCCTAGGAGAACTTGTAGAATTAGATGTTTGGCAGAATCACTCCAAGGTCATCTTCTTTCACCTGCCTTTTATTTCCAGCTTGTGTACTGAGCACTGGCCTCACATGGAACCTGGCACATACAAGTGGAGATTTATGATGGGTTTCTTTCTTCTTCCCTGCTTTCTTGCACATTCTCTCGAAAGCCCTTCCAGTATTTGCCCTCATTCTGCTGGTTTCAGCTCGTTCCTCTGAAAATTTAGAGATTACTGACCCCTGTCTTGGGGATTCATTTCATTTCTACTTGCCTTACAATTCAAGTAACTATATAATTTGCCATCCAAACCAAGGCACTCGTAAAAGCAAGAGGGAAATCTTAATAATTATGCCTGTCATAAAAATAAAACTAGGTTATCCCGGATAAATTGGGCCTTATGGTCACCCTATTTGTGATGTTTTGTGTGGTTCAGAAGTGGCCACACATTGGCGTACTTTTGCTGCCTAAGGTTTATCTTTGTGGGTATCAGAGGAGTCTCCTTGTACATTTTGTTTGAGAGAAGAGGGTTTACTTCCCTGACCTTCTCAAGCCAAAGAGATTAATGGAAGCCATGGATGTTATAAACAGTCTGAATTTCAGCCTAACTTTTGACCATTTTTCAAATACTTGTTCTCCGTTTCTCCTGTTACCAGAAAGCCAAGCCATTCCAGCCCATAGGGTACCACTCAGAGTGTAATTGAGGTTTGAATAAACAACACATGTGGCTTTTAAGGTTAAATGAATATTGTTTGACATACAGTACACTAGAGTTGTTTTTCATTTTGGTTTAAAAATTGGTTAAAATTACATCTTGTTGCTTCTCGGAATTAACTAGAATCCATCTGTCTCCATTAGAATCACTGTTTCTTTTTTAATACAAAAAGCTTCGGTTGAAAGAAAAAGATTCAAGATAAATTGTCCAGTGAATCAAGGAAAAAGGCAAAGAAACAGGTTTTTAGGGTATTTTTGGTGCCTATTTTTCTCAGGATATAATATCTAAGATTATAAACTGACATACAGTATCTATGGTTAGCTCTTCAGACAGACACTACACCAGTATAACAGACTACATATAGCCATACAACATGTGACATCTAAGAGATCATTTCAGTCTATCCGTGGTTTAAATTAAATAGAATGACTAAAATGTTAAAACCATTAGTAGCTACTACTTAGTAAAACATTCAAGCTTCAATGATGTAATTTTGATGACTTTGAAAGCTCAAAAGCAACAGAAGTATTAACAGTTCCTAGTATTTACATATTGTATAATACATATATTTATACATCTATTATATATGAATATGTATTCAGAAGTAATGGCTTTAGAAGTTTCTTTTTTACAGTACTGAAGTTTGAACTCAGGACCTTGTGCTTGCTAGGTAGGTGCTGTACCACTTGAGCCATATCCCACAGCCCTTTGTGTTTCAGATATTTCTGCGATAGGGTCTGTATATATACCCAGGCTGTCCTGGACCAAAATTGTCATATTTACACTTCCCTGGAAGTTGGGATGACAAGTGATCTGTACTGTGCTCTGCTTTTTATTGGTTGAAATGAAGTCTCACTAACTTTTTGTCTGTGCTGGATTCCAACTGCGATCCTCTGGATTAGATAGGATTGCAGGCATGAGCCACTGCACTCAGCCAGTAGTTTTTAATGAAGTAAAATAATTCCAATGTATGTACCCATATCTGTATACAAGCACTCAGATTTTCAAGTACAGGTTGTGACACATTCATCTGAACTTGTCTTACAGGGTATTTTGTGCTCCCATGCTTGACTGTCTTGCCTCATTGCTTTGCCATCTTACCTTTCTCCTCATTTGTAACAAAGACTATATACTTGTGTAATGCCTTGATGTTCTGACTGGACTATAAGTACTTAAAGACACTCCTAAATTAGAACCCCCTTTCATACTCCAGTATGCAGCAAACTGAACTTCTGGAAAGGCCTTGCTAATAACTACTTTGTGTTGATCCAGTCATGAAATCTTCGAAAGTACATTTAATAAGAGAGCCTTTGTATGACTTTTCTTTTGCAATTTGTTTTCTCTCTTTTAGCTACCTAGATTTGACTTCAAGCCATATCCTATAGCTTTTACATTTCATTTTGTCATTTGCTGGTGAATCTTTTCTGATTTCTAATCTTCTTTCTGATCTATTCTCATTTGACTCAGACCCACCACTGCCAGCTAAAACAGAGCAAGAAAAATCTAAGTTTATCCCTACTCAGTCACTGTCAATAGCATTCTACCACTCTCCAGACCTGCAGCCTGAGTCATTTTATACTGGTTTCTTCTCTGCTTTCCTCCTCCATGACCTAATCTTCCATCAGTCTTATCATTTTCTTTTTATCCTCAGTAGTCTGATTCAGCTCTTCTTATATACTGTGCAAATACTCATGGCCTATCACCTATTTCCATAGCAGCCTCCCGGTTGACCTCCTAGGTTTCAGTTGCTCCCCAAATATTCTACACTCTGTTACCAGAAGTTTCCACAAGTATTATTTTTACCATAGGTACCCCTACATCACAATTGGTAACAAGATCAAATGTGAGCTCTTCAGTCTGTTGTTGAGTGCAGCAGTTATGTCCTACCCTGTTTACCTCAACAGCTCTCACACTCCTTCCCTCCCTGCCCTCCCTTTCTCTCTCCTAGTGCAGCTACCAACCCCATTTCTCCTTTCCACATCCGATGTTTCTCCTCAAGCCATGCCTCGCTTTCAGCCTGCAGTGCGCGACTTGCCGTTTATAAAGCTCCAGTTCTTTGCAAATGCCATTCCATTCTGTTGCAGATACTTTCTGCCCACGTCACTGTCTATTTATCCCCCGCAGCACCTACCTCTAAAAATGGGACATAGTTCTTTTAGGAAGCTTTCCATGATTACATGTGACTGCTTACTCCTCCCATTCAGTATCTCCTAAGCATGCATATTTTATTTGTATTTCCAGTTGTTGATCTGCATGCATTTTAGGATCTTTCCTATATTGATTTCCTGTCATCTCCAATCAGGGTGTAAATATCCTAAGCATAAGGGCCCAGTCTGATTTCTCTTTTCCTCCTGCCACATATCAGGCTCTCCACCTAGCAAGCATTCAATTTGTAATTTTGCAGTACTGGGGATTGAAATCCAAGGCCTCAAGGCTTCAGGGCAAGTGCTCTACCACTTGAGCTATGCCTCCAGTCCTATTCAATGCATGTTAACTAATTCTTGGGCATTATTTTGTAGTCATGGCCAAAGGTAAAATGATCTTTACTCTACAGCAATCAGTCATGGTTTCACAGATATTCATGTAGTCTTTGTCTATCATCTTCACTCAGATGTGGGATAATGAAGAAGAGGAGTGTACACTATTGGCCACACACTTGATTCTGTATTTTTTACTGCAATTGAATTTAGTACCTATACTGAACATATGATATGTACCCAGCAATATGCCAAGTGCTACAGCCCAGTTATTATCAAATGCCTGCATGCATCAAAATTCCCTGAAGGGCTCATCAAAATTAAAATCACTGACCCTTATCCCAGAGCTTCTGACTTAGTAGGTCAGGGTAGGGTCCAAAATTTTCCATGTCTAACAAATTCCCAGGTGGTGCTGATGCTGTTGGTCCAGGGACTAACTACTTTGATAACTACTTTGAAAAGTAGTTAGCAAAGGATACAAAGGTAGTCTAAAACATGGTCTCTCATTTCAAGGGAATAACAGTCAGTCCAGGGAGAGGAGGCAGGACCAGGAAGCATTTAACAGCAGAAAATATTTATAAATATCTTACTATTCATTCATGTAGCAAATACTGAGTGAGCTTTAACTATGTGCCCATCACTATTCCAAGTGCCAAGGTTACATCAGTGAACAGGACAGATAAAAACCCTTGTTTTCATGGGGGAATCCTACTAGGGGGAGGCAGACAATGAACAAAATAAATAAAATGTCTAAAACATAAAATAATAAGTGCTACGGGGAAAAACAAAGTGGGAGGAAAGAAATATCAGAGTGGGGCTGAAATTTTAGGTATGGTAGTCAGAGGTTTCCCAATTCCATCATTTGACAAATATTAATTGAGCAACTATCATGTTTCAAATACTGTTACAGATAATGGTTGATACAGTCATGAGTAGCACAAAGTATAAGCCCTCACCTTACAGCATGGACACATTTGTTCAGCAAGCAAGAAACTTGAGGTTTTGGTGTTAGTTTTTACAAACTTGTTATTTGACTATGAGTAGCTACTTTCTCTCTGTAGGCTTCTCCATCCTTTCAATGGAGCAGTTGGACAAAGTTATGCCTGAAGCTCTACATTTCTAAGGCTATGGGATGCTAAGTCCTTTAGGCAATCAAAAAAAGTAAGTGTGCAGGGGAAGACTGTTCAGAGGAGGAAAACCCTAAATGGTTTATAGGCATGGGGGCTGTGGGGAATGGGAGATAGGAAGGTCATTTCAGAAGAAAGAATATCATAAGCTGAAGAATAGGAGTTTGGTGAAGAGCAAAGAGATCAAGGGTTCCATTGTAGACAAACTGAGATAGGTAGAAAGCAGATATTCAGTGAAGATAACATGGGGACTAACTGTGGACAATCTTGCGCAGGAACTAACTTGAGGTTCTGATCAAAGAATGATATGATTCTATAATCAAAGTGTTATTTTAGGAAAATTAACCTAGCAATCACAGGTAAATCTTTCATGACTCATCATTTCTTCATAAGATTTTCTTTGAATCATAAAGGATTAAAGCCATGCTTTTAAAAACTAAGTGACTGCTTGGTTGTAATATTGCTACCAAACTAATTTTCAAGTTTTTTCCAAGCCCTGATAATCAATGATATTACATAATTTTCCCTAACATTATGATTGAATACCATATGATTGAATTAGTGACATGTGACTATTTAGTTATAGGGTTTTAAAAGATTGGGAAATTCATTAGAGCAGAAAATTCTTTGTAAGTTTATTTTTCCATATGCCTTGTTATCCCCTGAAATATCTAGTTGAAGGTTGTGTTTATACATGCATACATACATACATATAATCTAAAGTACTTGTTTGGAATGGTGTGAACATCTGTAAGACTAGGCTTTTCCCACTGTTTGCTTGGTCATAGATAACAAAAGTTTCTTGGAAATTATCCTATTGTTTTTGATTTTTATCTCAGAATTTTTAACTGAGAATTATCTGTATCTGTTATGTGTTTTTTGCTCCCAAGTCTTCATGTACAGTCTTTCTCTTAACAGCAGTTACTCTGGAATACAGCAGTGATAGGGGTTGGCTGTCCAAAGAATGGTTTACACAATAATAGAGAAATAAAGGAGAGCACCTTGAATATTTACTATGTAAATACTGTTATCATAGCAAGCTTTATCTTTACTTTCAGATCAGCTCATAACTTCACAGAGACATTCTGGTGAACTTAACAAATAGTGACAGATCAAATCCTTAAAATTCATTGTTTAATAGTAGTTTAAACACAAGTTAAATATGATCTGCAAAATACTTAACTGTCACTAGAATAAAATGAGCAAAAGTGACAATGATGGCTATATTAAGGTGCAAAGTGATTATTTTCCCTTTTTATATTCCAAATTCTGGGTAATGTTGCCTGGTGATCTGTTTAGAAAGTGGCAACTTTCTTCAGAGATATTTTGAAGCATGAGGCCCACCCAGAAAAATCATTTTTTCAGTACTGTTTCTTGAAGGGCAGCCATAAGAGCTAAGGCATCTTGAGAACTTTGGAATCGAAGTTCCAAAAATGTGGCTGGGTCAAAAGTGTGATATTTTTCCCTTCTTTGTATGTATGATTCTTTCTTTATTCCTTTTTTAATAAACAGGAGATGGGGAATTGTCGTGGGAACATTCTGATGGTGATATCTTCCGGCAACCTGCCAACAGAGAAGCAGTAAGTGTGAATAGCTCAAATAATTCAACACTCCACATCAAGCCAAGCTTTCTTCTCCCCATGGCCACTATCCCAGCAAAACCAAAAAAGGGCCCATTTCTAACACCATTTTTCTTCCCCTTCCTTGGAAAATTGAATGCCATTATCACCAACCTGTAACCATTTAAGTACACTGTATAATTGGTAACCAGGGCCAGGACATGTACACAAAGAAATCATTGTCCTTCATCTAGATCAGAAGTTGGTACCCTTTCAGGATGACTTGCCAAATTTTTATGTCCTCTGTAAAGGAAAAATTTCCTTCCTTTACCCTGCAACATTTTCATTTCTGTTATCAGCACAAATTTCAGAATAAGCCTGACATGTAGACATCTCAGTACATACAATAATAGTGTTTTTGATCCTTTGTATTTTGAAGTAATTATCAAATCCCTATCTAAAAATGCATGTCTAAGAAGAGTTATTCTTCACACATGTTAAAGTCTGAAAAGATGTTGTAGTTCAGAGAATGAATCATATTAAGGGACTTATAAAAGTGTCCCAAAACATAAAAGATGTTCAGTGAATGTAAATAGGTATGAATTGCACCTTACCGTTTTCATAAGCACAAAACAAATGAACATAAATATCTGTCCACAGACACTTGGTTGAATTAACCCCAATCTATGGGACCCTGTTCAGTTGTTTAAAAAAGAATACAGCATATCTAAACATGCCAAGTGGGAAGAGTGCAAGACATATTATGTAAAGAACAAGGTGCTTTCCTTAAGTAAAGCTGTGTGTGCATATATGCACATAAAAAGATCTGGAAGGTTATTGTGCCAACTTGTTAAGAATGGCCCCTCTAGAGGGGTGGAGGTGGACAGGAGGAAAGTTGAACTTTGACTTTTTTACTTTGTTTCTGTATTTTTGATGTTTTCCCACAAATGAAATTTAAATGATTTTGTAAAACTCTAGCAATTAGTTCTTAGCAAGCATTGGAGATAAGAGCGAAGCCTGGGGTATGGGAGAGCAGGCCCAAGGATAGTGAGGGTGTGAGGCAGGGAGGGGTTCATAGGGCATGCAAATGAATGACTGATAAGACATCACAGTGCTGCTGGGCTTCCCAGTCATCACATGCACCCAGTTCTGACTTGCATACCCCCAGCTTGCCAACATTCAACCCAAAGCCTCAGCAGTGAGATGCAATACTTTCTATTTGCTTTAGTCTCTAGTGGTATTGCTTTCTGGACATTGCTGTTTCTAAATGAGTGTAGAGGACTGTGGGTAGAGTGGAAGTAGTACTCTGAACATGTCACAATAGCAGCATCCTTCCCACAAGAGAAGGTGGTCATCCCCATTGGCTGGTTAATATAGACCCTAAGGAAAGAGTTTCTTCATTGAGATCTGTCTGATTTATAGTAGGATTCCTTCCAGATCATAACAGGAGATGGTGTCAGTGTCAGTTTTCTTTGTCATGACTTTCCTCTCTTTTCCTAGCCCCATTTGCTATGGTGATGGTGGTAGTAGTGGTAGAAGTTGAGAGTGGCTAAATTACTGGCTGTCAACTAGATGTCATTTCAAAAAAAAATTTAGATCTCAGTCACCATAAGCAATTCAGCACTATTCCACAGTGAGCACTATGGCCACCTCAGTGGTCTTGCTGGGAATGCCACTAATTAGCCTTTCTTCTTAATCCGTCTCTTGTCTTCTGGTTCATTATTCTTCCTTTACTGCTAGCAATAGGAAAATATTTAATCCAGGACTTTTTGTGCAAAAAGAGATTAGGTACAGAACACAGAACCTTGAAATAGTTATTGATTTTTCAAAGGAGTTCAAGGCCAATTTTTAGAAACAAACATTTGGGGTTGGTAGACCAAAATGACCAGATGGTTCCACTTTATTATAAGTAAATATTTTCCTTTGTTCGGAAAGGGATAGATATTGTGTGATACAATTTGAATAATGTGTAGCATCTGTAGTCATGGAAAAATATGTACCTGACACATAGTAGGCACCCAATAAATAAATAAGTGTTGAGTGAATGGGTGTGGAAGGTGGAGTGAAATATATGTGGGCACGGGTGTGGGGAAGGAACGTTTCACTGATTTTAATGCACAGGACTTTTTCTCAGAGAGAAATTCTTAAAATTTGTTGTTTGTTATTGACCAGTCTAAAGTGGGAAGATGGGAGAATCCTTCTTAAATATTCTTCGTAGGCCTAACTTTGCATGGCAGGAAAAAAAAGCAGCCCTGAGAACACATTGTCTATCCAGTAGACTGTTCCTGTTTGCAGGAATCTACAAAAACCTCAGTACTACGAAAACATACCTGATTGGTTTATTTTGCCAAGTGGGCTTAAAAAACATCGGCTTACCAATTTTATGAAGTAAGTAGGAAGGAGATCCAGTTATTTAAATATGTCTCATTTGTAAAAACCTAAATAGTTTTTGTTTGATTTCCAGGTCATGATTTCATACAAATTGATCATGATGTGATGTGGTGTGTGTGTGTGTGTGTATTGGGAGAAATAGGTACAGAGTAGAAAGCCGAAGCATGAAAGCAAGCATAATTTGTTTAGGACAACAGTGAGATGGCTCTAATTTTTGTCCCCCGGAAAATTACATTGAAATTTATCATTAGAAAAGTGAGTTTGAGATACAAACATCATGAAGCAGATTTTTAAAAATCCACGTGTCATTTACACTATCTGTCAAAGAAACTGGCTTAAAAGGTCTTCCAACCTGGGATTGCTGTATGTTAGTAGGAACTAAGGTATAATGATTTTCATGGTGGTGGATTAGAATACATTCTGAAGACACTTTTCAAATTATACTCTTTGTGATGCCAGGGATGGAACCAGGTCCCTGTGCATACTAGGCAAGCACTTTACCACAGAGCAACACCCCCAGCCCTTAACCCTTTTATTTTGAGATAACTGTATATTCACTTGCAATTGTAAAACAGATTATGTGTACCCTTTACCCAGTCTCTCCCAACATCTTGTAACATCTTGCAAATCCATCTTACAATTATTACAACCACAAAGGCCCTTTTAAAACCCTTTCTGAACTCTTATGTTTTCCTATTTCTGCCAATAAAATCCTTAAGCCTTTAAAAATTTTAACTGATGTATAAAAACATAAAAGTTATACATGGGGCACATGTGATGTTTCAAAAATGTATACATTTAATGTTTAAATCATGTTAAGCATACCTGTCTCCTCATTTATAATTTGCTCTTGATGAAAACTTTCAAAATCCTTTCTTCTAGTTTTATGAAATGTGCAGTTCAGTTATTGGTGTCTACAACCACTCTACTATGCAGTAGCATACCAGAATTTCTTGTTCCTATCTAAGTGTAACTTAGTACCCACTGACCAATGTCCCCCATCCTTCCTTCCCCACTATCCTTCCCAGCCTCTGGTAATCTCTATATTATTCTACTCTCAAGGTCTGTGACCATCAACATCTTTAGATTCTATGTATGAGTAAGACAGTGCAAACCCTTATACCTTCAACCTGAGAACAAGTAAGGAAGAAATGCCTGGGTACAATGGAGGTGTCTTTCCAACACTAAAAAAAAAAAAAAATTTTAGAACCGCCTTAAAAGCTGAAATGTTTTTCAGTCCTTCAAGTCAGGAAATCAGAAATACCAAAATGCTAAGCAAAATAAAACAAAGCATAGCTCTATTGTCATTTCTGATAAACTGATTTTGACCTGTTCTCTCAAGCAGCCTGTTTGCAACTAGTTTTTAAGATAAGCTCTAGTTTCACTTACAGTTCCAAGATTTTAATGCCTTTTCTCCTTTGCTCAAAGTTTCAAAGTCAGAACTGCCCTGGTCAACCCTTTATATGTATTTAGAGGAGTGACTCAAAAAGAGCCATTACTCTTACATCAAAATCATACACCATCACCCCCCGCCCCCCCACACGCCTAAGCCTTGAACAGAAAATCATTTATGTCAGCTATTCTCTACCTTGACTTCAAATCAGAGACATCTGGGGATTATATAAAATCCTGATGCCTAGGCCTCACCCAGACCAATTTCATCAGAATGCCTGCAAGTGGGATCCTGGCATTAGCATTTTTACAGCTCCCCAGGTGATTCTAACCTGTAGCAGAGGTGGAGAACAGTGGTGGGTGTGGTTGGTGTGCTTGTGAATGCCATAGCTAAAAGAACTTCTGTCTCTGAAGGAACTTCTCTTTGAAGCAGCTTTCAGCCAAATATTTGTAGACCACTCTTTCTTCTCTTCCTTTTCTCCTGGGCATCTTCCTCCCTGTCCCACCACTACCACTTACGATCTCCAAACACTCACCTTTATTTTCATCCTGAATGAATTGGCTCTCCTCCTTGGCCTCAGTTTCTCCGTCTGTGAAACAAAAGACTGTGAGGGGTAAAGGTGTGTGGTGGGGGGGAACTGGTCTACAAAAGACCTCTGATCACAGCCCTTGAGGCTTTTGTTTTTGTTTTTTTGTCTTGAGTTATTTTCCTACCATATTAGTCCCTAATGCTGAAGAACAGTGTTACATTTTGTGCTTACCATCATGAATCCAAGAACTTCATGTACTAGCAACTTATACTGGGTCAGCAAACCTAATTCTACCCTCATCAAGCTCCTTTCTTTGATCATCAGTGGGACACCCACCAGGCAAACTGTCTTTTCTGTGTTCCTTTGGCAAAACATTACCAAACTCCAGAAATGACAGAACAATCTGTAATGGCCTTGGAGGAACATGAGTGATTAAGGCAGAAAAAGACATCTGAGCCATTGTGGGAGTGAGAATTATTTGCTCTAAGAATCCTGTCTGTATCGTATGCATGATAACAAATTGATGCAAATTCTTATTTGTGTGAATATTTATGGCAATGCACCAGGATGGGCTCTTCTTAGACAAAAAGAACAATGTTCTCTTTCAAAAGGCTAAAAATTCCTCCTATTCCAGCTTCTGTTCACTCTTCCCTCCTCCCAAGAGAGAAATATTATATCCTAAAGCTGTATTTGCAACATGTGTATCTATGGCACATAACTTCAATAAACATTTTATGGGCTGGTGGGATTAGGGGGACCCCATAACTCTTTCAGAGATTGTCTGCTATTTCTATCATTGAATGTAAGGATCTTCCTTTTGAATTGCCTGTGAAATTTTGTAATGGATTTTACCTCTTTCACCCCTAAAACATAGTTACTATTATTTGGCTTTAAGGTTCCATTCCCTATTCACCCCAACCTCCTCTACCTGTAACATACCTCAGCTCCTGAGAGAGGGGTGGGAAGCACAGTGGTGAGTTCATCATGTGTCTGGAACCTTTCTGAAAAAATGATGGTACTATAAGACTCTCAGCTTTACCTAGGGCCCACAGTCTCATTCATTTAACAACTATTGATGAGCACCTTCTAGATAACAGACACTTGTCTAGGCACTGAAGATACAGCAGTGAACAAACCAAAGACCTTGACCTTGTGGACCTTACATTCTAATGCTGTCATGTGCAGCCTATGCAATGTCTGTGAAATGCCTGCTGTATGATCTTAAGCCATTGCCTCAGTGCATCTTATCAATACTATACTTGACTCTCTTCTTCCTCTCCAGTTCACCCTACATCTTATTAGGGTTTAATGCTTTAAATCACAGTCCTGATTAACTTTTTTCTCTACTTAAAAAATTCCCTCAAAGATTTCCATGCCCCCACCTCTATCACTTACCAAATAAAGTGTTCATCTCTTCGCTTGTCATTTAAAGTCCTCCATGATTTGGCTCCAACCCCCTTTTGGAATGTTATCCTTCAACTATTCCCTTTTATGGACTATATTCTCTGCTACACCTTCTCAACTTGGAAACCTTTGCCTAGAATATTCCCCCACAAATGCCTATAAAAAGCCTACCAACTCTTTATGGCCCAGGTTGCAAACCTTCCCCCACTAGCAGCTCTCTTTCCCTTCCTGATTTACACAGCACTTTAGACTTCTCCTGTGGCCCCTGTTGCCTTGTGCCTTATATATTTGACTACTGTCTTAAACTGGAAAATGTGAGAGTCTTGGGAGCAAGAAGACACTTTAGCCATTTTGGTTGTTTTTTCTTTCAGGAGTTTGTCTATCTTCCATAGGAGAGAGAAAAACCTTAGCAAATTGCCAGTGCTGCTTTCACATGTTCACACCCTTACTTTTATTACTTTTATTGGTGTAGCTGGACATGCAGTCAGGATCAGAGATCATCCCTAAAAATCAAAATGATCAAATTGCTTCTAATGTATGTAACTCAATCTCTGCCATCTCATTGGTGAAAAAATTTTGGACCAAATTTGTTCTTGTTCTCTTACAGAGACATTCTTACCCCCGTTCTCACTATGATCCTCCAACAAGCCGACAGGCTGGAGGTCTTCCCCGCTTTCCTGGGGCCAGAAGTCACAGGGGCGCTCTTATAGATTCTCAGCAAGCATCAGGGACCATCGTGCAGATTGTCATCAATAACAAACACAAGCATGGTCAAGGTAAGGGGCGTCCTTCTTTTCCACTGTGTTCACATCAGGGCTTCAGCTTAACTTGTCTTTAGAGGGCTGGAGCTGAGAAAGAACCCTTTCTTCCACAAACAGTACATATACTCAATGTTAAGTCTATGAAGTGGGTATGAACAAGTGACTCCAGGAGAGTCTTAGGACTTCCCTAAATACAGCCCAAAGAATACATTGAAGCCCCCTTTGTGCTTTTGAAGCAGCCTCCAGCACTTTCTACATTGCTCCCTGGGTTGGAGATCAATTTAGAAAATTCCTTAGGTCTTTAACAAGTAGAAAAGCTAACAAGTGAAAGGTACTCAGTGCTGAACACTTCTCAGGTTCTAACCATACCTTAGAAATAGGCTTCGTTACACCTCAGTACGCTTCAGATTCCCCTGGGGCTCCTTTTATTCCTGGTCCCAAGCTCAGAGATTCTGGCTCAGTGTATAGCAAGTGAGGAGGTCATCCTTAGAAGTGAGAAATCCGGAAACCACCTGGCTGAGCACCAGGACGAATAGTCAGGTTAACATGACCTACGTCCCACTCAGCCAACCAACTGACTGCAGCAACCATCTACTATCATCCACGGGCCCTGTTTTCTCTTACTCAGAACTCTCTGGCCTTCACTCCCCCACACTCCAGTAGCAGAGGTGGGAGGAGGGAAAATTCAATCAAATGGCCGTTTCTTACGTTTTTAGGCATCCTGTCAACCAGTTCTTTGGAGCAAGAGCTCAGCTGATTCCTTTTTATGAAACCACAAACACATTTTGTTTCCTTTAGAGGGGAACCAAATCAAGAGCAGCTCTCAGAATGGGTTAAAAGTAATAAAATATTAAACCAAATGATTGAATAACATGGGTGAAAAACAATCCATCACAAAGAACTCCTACTATAAATTTCAACAAAGCTAGTCAAGCCAAAGCTAGTTGATCACATCTGTTACTAGTTAGATGTAAATTTCAGATTACAGATAAAAATAAATTGCTTTTGAAACCTCCAGGCTTAAAAGAATATTCTAAACACAGCTTAATAAAATGGTGGTATATTGAAATAATTGGAAATATTTATTATTGATCTATTTGACTTGAAATTTATTATTTTTAAGTTCCAAGGCATTCTGAAACAAGTTAATGAAATGAGGAGGAGTAAGGTAAAGATTCAGTTTAACTTTTCAATCCTAAATTACCCCCAGTAGATTCCATTTACTGTGGAAGTATTTCAAAGAATGGTGAAGTGGACCTTCAAAACTCTAAATCCCATAATTTCCACAAGGCCTCTTCATTTTTAGGGTAGAGGCTCATCCTTTGTCTCCATGGCCTACAACAGCCCCAGCTGGTTTCCATTTATTCATCTGCCCTAGTGATCTGGATACAGCACTTCTCTCCTGACCTTTCTATCATAGTTCACTGAAGAATCCTTGTCTCCACCCCACTTCCCAACTCTGCAGCTGGATGATTCAAAATCATCTTGAGAATTTATTGGTGGGGAGAGAGGCTGTTTCCCTCTAGAGAACTGACTTCACCATATTCTACTGATGAGTGTGGGCTCTCACCCAGTCTAGACTCTTCCCTTATGTCCAAAAGGTTTTGAAGTAAGAGGGAACCTAGCTATATACCATTGCTCCTCAGCATGAGTTGCCCTTCTCAGATCTCTTGCTAATGGGGTGGTCCTCTGACATACAATGTAGTTGGTTCCTTGTTAAAGTCAAGGAGGAGGAGCAATAGTACTCCATCATTTTGAATTTGAATCCTGCCTAAACTTTCTTGAAGTAGACTGAGCCCACTTGATCATATTGTTTAGAAGGAAGTGTCACCACCTGGAGAGAAGAGAAAACAATACATCTGGTCTATTTTGTGTGATCCTGTCCACAAATCATGCATCTCAAAGTTTCATTTATTCTGAGTCATTGTAAGTTGGGAGCCTCTCCAGTTAGGTTCTTGGAAATCTTTCCATGGACTTATCGGTTAGAGTGCCCAGTACTCTAGCAGCTCTTGCAAAGGACAGTAAAAGGCAGCCAACATCATTCATATTTCTTAATGTGACCCGGTAGGTTCAAAGAGAAAGAAATAGCCTAATGATTCATCCTGAGCCTGTTGTCTTGCAGCCAAATCAGTCAATTCCTAGAAACGCCCCAAGTGGGGCTACTTCACCCCCCTCAACCCCGCCCAAAGTGATACATCCCACCCTAGAGACATTGTTGATTGGGATGCCGACAGGTCTCCCTGGGTGTGATGAGGTGATGGGAAAAATGAAAAACACACCCAGACCCAGTCCTGTCTTGAAATGTCCACAGTCTCAGCACTCTTTAAAAAGAAGAAACCTCTCATTCAAAGCCCTGCACATTTCTTATCCTGTAGCCTAACTCTGTACCTTACAATAGGAGACTAATACGTTTGAGGCTGATTTTATGGAAGGATGTTCCTTAGCTCTTCCCCTTCATTGGCCCCTGAACCTACAGCCCAGATGTGTGTTCTTTAGGCCCCTCAGAAAACATGGTGCTAATGACTACACTTCTCACTCAACAAACTCTAGATTAGTAAAGGATGTCTGTGGAGCAGGAAGTGATTCATTATAGCCAAAGCTCCACAGCCACTACAAGGGGAGAAACTGAGAAAATTGCCAGAAGATTAGAGGTGTAAAAGGGCACCCCTTCACAAGTTACTTAAGAGGCGTGGGTCCTTCGCCTCTCAGTCTTGTCGTAGCATCTCCCTTCCCACACCAGAAAGTAGGCCAGCGGCATTAAGCTCCATGCCTACCTATACTGGTGGGTTGGACTCTCATAGTATTCGACATTCTGAATGATTTGCTTCAGCATCTGAGAGAAACTGGCCCTTTGCAAAGAGCAATAGTTTTTACATTGAGCCTTACTGGATAGCAAATCTCTCTGGGAAAATTTCATGCTAGAAGTATATCCACTCAGGCTACACAAATAAATGGCACTAAAGATATTGATGCTACTATTAGATATTTTTATCAGGTACTCAGAACAAACAGAACTCTTTTTTTTTTCTTTTTTGTGATATTGGGTAATGAACCAAGAGCCAAAAACATGACAGGCAAGCATTCTACTACATGAGCTATACCTCTAGCCCTTTTGTTTGTATTTTGTTTTTGAGAGATATTATCTTGCTGACTTTGCCCAGCTAGCCTTAAACTGTCTGTCCTCCTGTTCTGCCTCCCAAGAAGCTAGAATTTAAGCCATACACCACCATGCCCAATATTAGAATTCCATTTTCCTACGTTCATTCATTCTTCCATTTAAAAATATTTATGGATTGCCTACTTTGTGTCAGGCCATTTGTGAGCATACAGAGGCCACTGCAGATGAACATGGATAGTTGCTGATCATACTACCCATCAACGTGTGATCAACGTGGCACAAGATGTGTTGCGGTAGCAGATACTGTTCAGTAAATGTATCTTCATGTACATAACAAGAATAAAGGATGGGTGATGTATTAAGGATGCAGGGCTTGGATTCTGAACATAGGGACCCATTTCAGCTCCTTTGCCTTTAATCTCCAGTCCTGTGTTCTCTTCCAGTCTGCGTGTCCAATGGAAAGACCTATTCTCATGGCGAGTCCTGGCACCCAAATCTCCGGGCATTTGGCATTGTGGAGTGTGTGCTGTGCACTTGCAATGTCACTAAGCAAGAGTGTAAGAAAATCCACTGCCCCAATCGATACCCATGCAAGCATCCTCAAAAAATAGATGGAAAATGCTGCAAGGTGTGTCCAGGTAAAAAGGCAAAAGGTGCGTTGGTTGGAGGCCCTGCCTTTGGTTGGCTGAATTCCACACATAGTACTCCTCAACTTTCTTTGGGCATTAGAAACATAATCAGCCTGTCATATACTTATAATGATAATAGTTCTGGCAAGAATGAGCACCCTTCTTTCTCCTCTTGAGTGACTGATAAGATGATTGCTTGGAAGAAATTTACTACTCAGAAATATACTGGGTATTTTCTTGTGTCTACAACTTCCTTTGTAGCTAGAAGTACTGAACTCACCCTTTTCTAAATAGAAAATAATCATCACAGTTATTAGGACAAACAGTCACCCTTACATTTTATCACTGTTTAACTCATCACAGCAAGTCACATCCATAACCCTTTTCAGATAAGACAAGAGACAGGTAAGTTATTGTAGAAGGAGACTATGTTCTGATCCAAATATAAGTCATTGCACAACCTTGAAAATGTACCAGTTACTCTGGGCCTCATCAGCCTCATGTGAATGGTTAAAATAATTGATCTGTAAGTTTCATTTTTTTCTCTTTTTTGCATTTTCTTTGTCGAAACATAATATTTGTAACATACTGGTGGGATAGAGTACAATAATTCAGAACATGTATACAATGCATAATGATCAAATCAGGATAATTATAATTTCCATCTCTTCCAACATTTATCATGTCTATGTATTGTGAAACCCCAAACTCTTCTAGTTATTTTGAAATGCATCATAAATTTTTGTTGACTCTAGTTACCCTGCTGTGTTATAGAATACCAGAACTAATTTCTTCTGACTGTGTTTTGGTACCTGTTATGCAATCTCCCTCTATCTTCACTCCCTCCAACTCCCAACACTAAAATCCTATAACTTTATTATTATTTATCTTTTAAACATAAGAAAACTGAAGTGTATAAAGTGACTTGCCCAGAATTATTAACATAATTGATAAGAAAACCAAGGCTTGGAACCCAGGTCACTTCCAGCCCATTGTCTTTTCTACTTAGAAAATGTTTACTGATTTTTAAAGGCAAATTATTTAAAATGGTGGTTTTAAGACATCAGGTAGATAAAAATCTAATCTGTAGTAATGGCGGTGATAGAGTTTGGGATGGGTAAGCAAGCATTCTAACCTCACAGCTTTCCACTGGTTTCTTGTATGATCTAGACCAAGTAATCTCACTCTCTGAACCTCAATTTCTTTTTCTACAAAATGAGTGGGTTATAACGGCTGATTTCCCAGGGTTCTTCCAGTTCAAATATTCTATAGTCAATGAATCAGTTACTCCAAGGCATGTTGGCTGTAATTTCTTATGCCTTCTGCAAATAATTTATGTGAATGCAGATGAAAAACCAAACATTTTAAAAATGTAGGCAGAGAACTAAATCATTTATTCTTTCAACTTAGGAAGCCTTCATGACTAGCAGGCAAACATGCACTTCGTCTATGTGTATTTACTGAGCATTTTTATGTGGATCAGTGGTTCCCGAACTTCTCTGCACATTGGAATCACCTGAGACCTTCTAAGAACACCGGCGTCGCATTCACAGAAATTGTGATTTAATTGATTTGAAGTGTGATCTGGGCTTTGGAAATTTTTTAATTCCCAGGCTATATTAATGTGCAGAAAAGTTTGGGAGCCACTGCTACAGACCCATGGTGGTTCATGGGCCACCATAGGAGCACCTAGGAGCTATATACTAGCACCTAGGAGCTAGTTATAAATGCTGACTCACAGGTCCCCAATCTATCCTATTGCATTAGAATCTGCATTTTAACAAGATCCTCAGGGAATGCTAATATACAGTACACTAACATTTGAGAAGCACTAATTCAAGGCACAAACAAACTCTTCCTCAATGTAATGGCCTCCATCTTCCAGAGTAAATGGGGTAGAGTGTGAATAGGTAGGACAACAGCTAACTGATACTGAGCAGAAGTGAGACATTAAAATTCACAAGGAGCTGGAGGTGTGACTCAAACAGTAGAGTGCCTGCCTCTCAGGCATAAAGCCAGTACTGCCAAAACAGAAATCACAAGGAAATGTGCTTATTAGCATTAGGGAGAAGGCACATTCTAGAGCTGATACGGATATTGGGGCCACCCGAAATTGACCTCTATGACTTCCAAGTCTGTGTTCTCACTGGCTCCCCAAATCTCTTAGTGTCATTTAGTTGTAATCCCACTAACAAAATTTTCTCTTCTATCAAGGGCTTAACTTATTTCTATAGTTAAAAAATAATACAAGATAACTTTAGACAAAAACCAAGTTACCTAAACTACTCACGATAAACCCTCTCACTATATAATATTCCAACTTGATTCTCAGAGCTTTAGACCAAATCTCATTTCATTGTGTGCTTAGGATTTTATTAATACAGATGATTCAGATAAGAAGGGAAAGAAATATGACGTTGCAAGAACAGGGCACAGAATAGGCATTACTTTTGGTTTTTTTTCTTTCTTTCTTTTTTTTTTTTTGGTGATACAAACCGTGATCCTCCTGGTCTCTGCCTCCTGAGTAACTAGGATTACAGGTATGAGCCCCTGGTGCCTAGCTGAATAGGCATAACTTTTAGATAATTTCTCTCTCAAATTGGTAATGTTTATCAAAACATTCGGTAAGCAATTCTGCTCCCAGTAATCAGCAGCATACACAAAGATACAATATCAAGGAATTTTGCTACAGGACTGTTTATATTAGTGGAAAATTGGAAACAATCTGTAAATCCACTATTATTGGAATGGCCCAAATTATAGTATTGGTGTGCTGTGTGGTATACAGCCATTGAAAATATTGTAGACCAAGATTTGACAGCACAGAAAGATGTTTGCACTATATTAAGCACAGAAAAACAAGACACAAAATATGCATATTATAACTTACCGTGTTAAAAGAAAGAGTTTATATATGCTTAGGTTTTTTTTAAGACTGGGAAGGAATATGGCAGAAAGTTTACAGTAATCATCTTTGGATAACTGAATTATGCCTAATTCTTAATTTCTTATTTTTTATTTGTATTTTCTAAATTTCTAATAGTAAACATACATTACAATAAGGAAAAATAATAAGAATTGTTTTGAAAACTGCCCTCCAGAATGCCAATTGGCAATATATTGAAGAATCTGATTGGCTATGCCAGTTTCTCTAGAAGAGCTGTTTTTCTTGTTTCCAATCCTACTCCAATGTGTGGAGACAAATTTATTGGGCAATATGGAGAGAATGTCAATCCCATTCTGTGTATCTTTTTCTTCCTAGGCCAGACATGTCTATCTTCATGTTGAATCACTCCCACGGGTCACATTGCCCAATAGTCACTATGCACAGAGCCCGGTGTACCTGCTCCAGGTACTCAGCAACTTCAGAGCATGAAGGGCCATGGCTGCATTCATAAATTCAGTCTAGAAATATGGGTTTGTGGAGTGGCTCAAGTGGTAGAGTGCTTGCCTAGCAAGCATGAGGCCCTGAGTTCAAATCCTAGTACCAACCAAAAAATAGAAATATTCATGAAGTACCTACTGCATGCAAGACACTTACAGATGCTGAGGCAAGAGACATGAACAAAACAGACAAAGGCTACTTGCTGGCATGGTTCTTGCATTCTAGTAGAGAAGAAAGTAATTTTAGGCTTTAGGATCAAGAGACAGTGAATAAAATGGGAAGGACTTTCAAAAGAGCAAACAGGGAAGGCTTCGTGTAAAAAGGTGATATTTGAGTAGAATCCTGAATGATATGAAAGGGTAAGAAATGAGATCACAGCATCACCACTCTCTTAAAATAATTGCAAATGTCATAGAGGAAAAAGAACAAAGGAGCGAGGAGGGAAGAAGATGGAAGGAAAAAAGAACAGTAAATCCAGTCGTGTTGATAAGGGAAAAAGAGATAAATGGAATTCACTGATGATCCACTAAAAAGTTTCATTGTAACAAATGATTGCAGGCTCCTCCAGTACCAAACCAGTACCAAAGTAGGATCAAAATAAAGGATGTGAGTTTCACCTCTCTCTTCCCTTTGCTCTGATAGAGGCTGGACTTGCCTTGCATATCAGTGACCACCTACAGGAGTGGGTAAGACTTCCACTTTCTGAAGGTTGTCCAACTTACCTCTGATACCCACTGCACCGCCCTAATACCTGGAATTCCGTACACATTCCTTTTGGAGTTCGTCATAAAATGCCCCAGGCAAGACTTAAAAGTTTCCTAGGCAGGGAAAACACATATTCTTTGTCAGTCATCACCACTTCCATAAGGACTGGTTTCTCACTTTCTTAGTTCTAAAGGGCTCAGGACAGCGGCATTCTCATAGGAAGCTGGAATGACCAGAAATGACTACAAGCATGGCGCACTTTCCTGGAAGGAAATGAAAGTAGGTGTAGGTGAGCATGGAGTGATCACAAAGCACCTAGAGTGGAAAAGGGCGAAAGTGGAAGATGTTGCTGAATAGGTCCTTCTAAAGACAAACTTGGCCTTTTTACTGTTGTCAGGTATACACCAGGGCTCAGTCACTAATGGGTTTTGTTGTTTGTAGATCCCTTCAAGCTAGTAAGTTCAGCTTCTGGAGAGGAGAGGGTGGTAGTCCAGGATTACTGTTCAGGATACTGGGAGAACTTTGAGCATTATTACAGGCACTCCAGTACCATTGTGGACTGAATTTCATGTCTGTTATAGCCATAGTCAACATTAAGCTGGTGTGAGCAAAGTTTAACAAGTGAACTCAGCTCTCATTCTAGAGGTGACAATTGAATACATAGAAGTTCCTACACACTCAGTGACCTCTCCTTCGCACTCGAAATGCACTACCACACATCCTTTAATTGCCTAACATCACCAAAAAGAACATCCTGCCAAGTAATTAAATAGCTAAAAAGAAAAGCAAAAGGACAAAGGAAGCTTGATTCTAGAATAATCAACAAATTGAGTAATCCAACCTGAAATTGTCAAGAGAAGATGACGGTTTTGTCGTAACAGTGCCAAATGGTGGGGGTGGGGTGGGAAAGCTAATCAGGTCAGCAAGAGACATACAATAGCAATTTGATTACAACTCCTAGTCCAACTGATTGGCTGACAGTGAGTCTCCACAATTAGAGTCATGAATCCAAAACACTCAACACTCAGCAGTTTCATCCCCAACAATTCAGATATTCTTACAGATAGCTTCTGAACATACTCAAATTTTTCAGGGTGTCTAAGGTTTCTCTTTGTTGTTCCTAATTTGAGTGTACACTTTGACTACACAGCTAAAAGAGTGTCTGATTGTGAAGCTAGTAAAGAAACTTAACTCACTGATAACCAACAAGGAGAAACGTTTTTGGTAGGGGGCCAAGGAAAGGGGAGGGTAGAGTAGAATTGGGTGTACTAGGAGGCTGGTATCTTTATGCTGGGGAGCTGGAATTCAAAAGTTTAGTTTATATATTAAGTGATCCATAGTTGAGGGATTTCACCAATTTTTTGTGTCTTGTAACTGTTCATTTGGCATAGCATACATATGACTAATCTGACATCTAGGTTTTGGCACTGGTGTTGATCCAGTATTACCGTTCCCCTTACAAACAAATCAAAGAGCGTTCAGAAATGTCAAGCCAATTTGGAAAGATCCATTGGGCAAGTATATGCACATAAATGAGTGTCATGAATGTTTTTTGAGTATACCTAAATGATGTCAAGAAAGTTAGCCAAGGCCCTCTGTCAACCCATTGTGTGGGCCCCTCTTGGTAACGCTGCACTGGAAAGAGCATGATCCTGACCCTGGGTACATTCTTCCTCATGAAAGTCCCCTTCTCATTGACAGTAGTAAGGAGATCCAGTTGAGTTTGTGGGCATGTGTTCTATATAACTGTGGACTCTGTCATCACATGGACTTCAATGAAAGGTTATATGCTGCTTTGTGACTTGGTGGCTGTTACGGGGCAGCCTGAGCTGAGCTAATAAAATAAAGATAGGAACTCTGGGGCCAGGCACACTGGAACACAACAGTAATCCCAGGTACTTGGGAGGCGAGTTGGGAGAATTTCAGTCAGAGGCTGGCCCCAGACAAAAAACATGAGACCCCAGCTCAAAAATAACTAAAACAAAACAGGGCTGGGCATGTGGGTCAAGTGGTAGAACATTTGCCTAGGAAGCATGAGAACCTGAGTTCAAACTCCAGTACCACCAAAAAAAGAAAAAAAAAGGTTGAGATCTCTGTGTCTGTAACAATGTTCTTGTTGGTTATATACTTTTGATAAGCATAAGGTATTATGAACAATGAGATAGCTAAATGCAGAAGTTCACTTCCAGTTTTTGAAAACCATCTCAAAACTCTACTTGCTTCTTGATTTCAGAAGAACTTCCAAGCCAAAACTTTGACAGCAAGGGCTACTTTTGTGGAGAAGAAACGATGCCTGTGTATGAGTCTGTGTTTATGGAAGATGGGGAGACAACCAGAAAAATAGCACTGGAAACTGAGAGACCACCTCAGGTAGAGGTCCATGTTTGGACCATTCGAAAGGGTGAGCAGCAACATTAATTTTTTATCTTCTTAAGGGGGCCCAGAAAGAGTTCAGTGTGTTCCTCTGTTTGGGTCAGAATTTATCCTGTTTGCCTAGACACTGACACATGTCTAACACATTGGTTATCATGGCCTTTCAAAGTTAACATGGTCTGTGCTGAAGGTTAAGTACTACACCTAGAGTTTCTAAAAATTGTCTTTCTCACACCACCAAAAAGTACAGGAAGGGTTCTTAATCCTGGCTCCACATCAAAGTCATCTGGGTGAGTTTTTCGTTAGGTTTTGTTTTGGCTTTTTGTTTGTTTGTTTGTTTTTAATACTAAGTACCTGGGCCCTACCCCCAGAGTCTGATTAATTGGTCTGATTAGGGCCCGGGCATCAGTGTACATTTGTAAAGCTCCACAGATGATTCTAATGTGTTACCAGGGTTGCACGCTACCATGCTGTAACCTACTTTTCCAATACAAAGCTTGAAACACAGGATACAAAGCCCATTCATCTAGCTAAGTCCCTAAGAATCATGCAGTGTGCTCTGGGCCAAGACAAATTGAAAACATCATCCCTGTCTTCAAGAAGGTTATAGTCTCACTGGAGAAACAATCCCAGTCATGATGCTATTCACAGCATCCTGTATGTAGGAGACTAGTGCTAATCAAGTATGGTCAAGTATTCTAGGAATTAAAGTGTAGAGGTGAGATATTATGTGGACAATATACACAGCTCCTTTTGCTACTGGCTCCCACATAAGGCTCAAAATGCTCAAATTTTGGTGTGTTCCAGCATCATGTATGGAGCTGCATTCAAATGTAGCTACCTGGCCCAAAGCCAGAGATGTGAATTTAGTAGGTCTTGGGTAGGGTCTAACATTTGCAAGTTTAAGACATAGGCTGGCCATACTAATGTGGGTAACAATTGAACCATACTTTCAGAAATACTGCTATAGTATTTCTGGGGACCTTTTGTCTTCCTTTTCACAACCACCTTTCTTTTTCTAAAGAATGTGTTCCTCTCCATCCCTTAGAAGAAAATTCTAGCATGCACATATGTTTTTCATCCATGTTTATTTTGGCTTTATACCTAGGCATGTCGATTTTCCATCTTTAACTCCATAGTGCATCTGTAACTGTTCACCTAGGACTATGCACTAGTCTGTTAGTTTCCCCAGTAGTGGGACCAGCATTTGTCACCCTTCAGCTCTCACCCCACTAGTTTGTAACTTGCTAGTCTAGCATCTACACAGCCTCCCATTCACAGGGCAGGATTATCAAAGTCTATGCTTGGTGAGAAGAAAAAAAACCTGGGCTTCCTCTCCTCCATCCCCTATAGGCCTCTGGAGGATTGTTTAAGTGTGTTGGTGACATGTTGCTCTGTATCTACTAGGTAGTTTTTATTTGTTTATTTGTTTTCTGATTAAAGCTACACAGGCAACTTTGAGACTGTGCTGGCCGCTCTATTTTAGCTCCCCCCATTCTTTTTAATAATGGAAGGCTATGAATGTTTCCCAAAGGAAAATATGCTCTTCAGTGAGTTCAGGAACATTTACACGAATAACCAGCCTGTGATCCTACTGCTGGCTCTCATTGTTTAGCCAGGAGGGCATCCCAGTGGTTTGGCAGGGACATAGTCTGCCCAGATTTGGGGCAAAGGCATACCTTCTAATACTGCCTCTGGCTCCAGAAACTCCAACCAGTGCCCATGCTAGGTTCCATGTTGCTTTCCCTAGGAGAGGGTACCATGGTCAACTAGACTATCTTCATTCCCTGGAGAAGCCAAGGGGAGACCAGCAAGCCAAGGAAACAAATGGAGTCAATTAAAACCCTTGATCCATCCAAGTTTCTGGTTAAGCACATTACACAGCCCAGCTCAACACTCTTAAGCCCCAGTAATGAGATGATATGCTTAGCCCAGACAGGAAAAGGGGTCAGTAGTTCCAGAAAGTGATAGAGTGCCTGACCACCTGCCTCACTTTTTCTTGGGCCTAGGCATCCTCCAGCACTTCCACATTGAGAAGATCTCCAAGAGGATGTTTGAAGAACTCCATCACTTCAAGCTGGTGACCAGGACAACCCTGAGTAAGTAGTACCTCTCTTTACTCCTCCCTGGAAAATGCATCTAGCTTTTCAATGTGGCATAGCCACAACTGAAGTCCCTCTGTGTTCTCAGTGAACATTAGCAATGCTAAATATTAACAGCACAGGGTATTCTTTTCTCCTCTGGAGTACTTAGCAGCAAATAGGGTAGCTGAATATAAACTGAAAAGCTTGGGCAAGATGAATACAAACCCAGAGGTAGCTTACACTCAGGCTTCACATCTGGAAAGCTGTGTTCTCTGATGGTGGGGATGAGAGAGAGAGAGAGAGAAAAGAAATACATATCCTTTCCTGTGTTGTATCAAAGCCCTTTGACTCTGACCCCAGGAAGGTCATATTTCTTTAGGAGCATTCAGTCATTCAAGCATACTTGCAACTCTCTCACTTTCTACACTAGATGGAGCCTAGGGACTAGATACTGCTAAGCACTGTGGTTGGAAGTGGGAATAGAAGTGGGGGTGGGGAGCACTTGTAATAGAATAAAAGACACAAAATTTCTATCCACAGGGAATTCTAGTGGGCGAGACAGAACATGAAAATGCCTTCATTATGAATTAGTATATTTTGGAGGAGTTAAATACCTAAGCGCTCAGGGTAATCTGCAAAGAACAATGAGATAAGAGCCAGGTGGGCTTAGTCAGGAAGGCTTCGGGGAGGAGGTGCGTTTTGAAAGGAAGGGTGTGACTGGGCAACAGGTCAAAAAGTCAGTCCAAGAAGAGGGTGTAGCCTAAGAGAAGACTCAGACAGGAGCAAACAAGAAATGTGGGTGGGAGTGAGGAATGATCACAAAGGCCACATAGGGTGCACTGAAAGATGAAAGGAGTTGGTAGGAAGTAGTCAGAGCGTCCAGAGGAAGCCAGTGAAAAGTTCACCTATAAGGTAAGTAGCATTGGGAATTGCTGCACAATTACAAACAGCATAGTGATATCAAAAAGGTGCTTTGGAAAGATGTCTCTGGGCTTTTGGATAGATTTATTCAGCACCTACTTTGATGAAGCCAGATTATGAAGAGCCCAATTTGCTATGTTAAGAAATTGAACTTGATCTTCAGGCCAGAGAACCGCAGTGGAGATTTTTAAGCAGGTGAATGGTGCATTCAAATCTCTTTCTTAGAGTTCCTTGCTGTGTGGAGTGAGAGAGTTGGCGACAGTGTGAATTAAGAAGCTATTATACTATAATAAAACAGTGAGATAAGGGGCAAGAGGTCACTGTGAGAGACATTTTGAGGTTAAATTAACAAGGTAGGTATCAAAGACAGAAATGAGTTTGGAATGACTCGGCGAATGTAATGCCCAATTCATCAGTGAGAAACTGAAGAACAAGCAGGTATTGGTGGGGAAAAAATGAGCTTCACTTGGAACACATTTAGATTAAGCTGATTGAGAGTCAGCTGAGAGAAGTTAACCAATAGATAGTTGGAAATAGAGTTGATGAGGTCAATTGTTTGTCTTCTCAGGACTCATAGAAAAAAAATGAACAATATGAAAATTTGAATGCAGGTGTTGGCCTTACATGTGAGAAAGGAATAATTTCAGCTTTTTGCTGAAAGCACCTGACATTTGTATTTCAGATATCCTGGTGGGTCCACAAGTAACTTGATGGGGTGTATTGGTTCTGTTGAATTTGCTGTGCTCTCCTCTTACACTCTCCTGACCATTTTGTGTTTGCCTTTTAGGCCAGTGGAAGATCTTCACCGAAGGAGAATCTCAGATCAGCCAAATGTGTTCAAGTCGTGTATGCAGAACAGAGCTAGAAGATTTGGTCAAGGTTTTGTACCTGGAGAGGTCTGAAAAGGGCCACTGTTAGGCGAAACAGAGAGAATTGGATAATGTCAAGCAAGAAAATTCAAGCTGCAGCTGGACTGCCAGCTTATTTTGCTTAAGTCAACAGTGCCCTAAAACCCCAAACTCAATTGCAGTCAATTATTTACGCCATGCACACAATAACTTGCTCCTCTATGTGCAGTGGTATGTCAGCCCTTAGACATCTCCTCTATAAGGACTAGAAGAGACTTGAATGATTTGTAGGAAGTAGAGGAGGGATGGAACACCACATTGTAGCTCTAGTTTCCTAGAGAATCACAGGTTGTCTTTACAGGTTAAAAGTAGGGTTTCTATCTAGAAAGTTACTCAGATGAAAGAAAGAGTAAGAAGTGCCTAGTAAGAGGTGTTGCATATAGAGCAATTAATTGTATGAAACTATACTCACTGAATATTAGAATGTCTTCTGTTCCATAAAATAAATAACAACTCTGGGGCTGGGGATGTAACTCAGTTTGAGAGCACCTGTCTTACATGTGTGAAGTACTGGCTTCCATCCGCAGCAGTGCAAAAACAATTAACTCCCCATCTTCCAAACACATAAGTACACTTACACTCACATGAACTTGAAACCAGCCTCCACTCTGCCGCTTTCCTTTCTCAGCTCCCAAGTACCTTGAAGACTGCTGGTGTCCAGGAGAATACATACAGGATTGTAAGCAGGAGGCTTGTGCCCTTAAGCCTTTCAGGTAGCTGTTGAAGTCACCAACTATAGTAGCAGGTGAAGAGTAAGGACACCATTTCATGGCCTCATTTAGTTTGAAGTGATAAATAAGTTTTTCTTAATGAAACCCTTTTTTCTTTTCTCCTAGAACCTGTGGAGCCTCTATAAAGAATTTAGGATTTGGTAAAATTCTCAGAAACTGAATTCGTATAAGATAAAATAACTTTTGAAGAAAGGAATTGATAGACGTCAAACAGGCTATCTTTGTTTTCACTGCAACAAAACACACCAATTAATAGATTGGTATTCACTAATTTTCTTGAGATCATAGTTGTCTAGCCAGAAAATGTAGGTTGAATTATTAAATTCTAGAAGCTCCTTAAAGGGGCACTTTTCTTCTTCCAATTGCAGGAGTTGTTTTTTGACTTTGTGAAGAGGCTCAATCCTCATGAGCTTCTGAATGTTGTCTCTTCAGCTAAGAGAGTTATTTTTTATTCAGGAGGCTGAGAATTTGTCCTAAATCTTACTACCATCCTTGCCTTATCCACCAAGCATGGATTTGAATCGGGGATTCTACAGAAGGCTTCCCCTAAATGTCCATTTGCAGCTCAATACCACAGTATAAATTATCCATTGTGAGGCCTGGCTTTAGAAATCATCTTTGTGGGAAAACTATAAATTTTTCACAAGAAGATTCTTAAGCCTGCCTTTTGGATTTGTCCCCTCCAAAGGGAATGAATGAACTCCAGTGAATGTTTAGAAGTATCAAGGAGCCAGAAATCCCACATTTCCCACTCCATGACCATAAGTGTGTGAACTTCCTTAGTGTATTTGACACATAAGGAAAAACATAAAAAGTCCAGTTCTTATGGCATAAAAGAGTCAGTGCCCATTAAAGAGACATAGGGTCTTGTGACCAGGACTGCATGGGACAGGCCTCTCACCAGCACATCACACACATTCTCAAGAGAGGGAAGTAGGACATCCTGGGCTACAAAACCATAGAACATTATTGTGGGGGTGGGGCAAGGCTGGTTAAGCAGCTGCCATCTCCCTCTCAGGGGTGGCAGTATTGCCATAGTGTGGAGACCAGTAACCGGGTCCTGAAGCAAAGTGACGATTGTCCTTCTAGATGATTCACCCCAAGACCTTCCCAACCAGGTGTTCTCTGAAAGCTCATCCTTAAGGGAACACCCAGAGAGCATCCCTAGATAGACTCCTGCCTCCGGGTGCTGGGATACACCTTTCCAAAGTGCTGTAGGAAGCAGGAGCTGGGTAGTTGTGTTAACTCAATGTTAAAATCCTCAAGTATTCAGTGTTGTGTAGGAAGTAGAACATAGGGTTAAAAAAGAGGCCAAGTCACCTATAATTAGTAGAGAAGAATGGACGTGGTTCTTCTTGTGTATTTATTTGTATCATAAACACACTTGGGACAGCAAAGACCGTAAGCACCATTTTGCAGTTGCAGCCACTTTCTACTTAACTCATGTAAATAAGTAAGAGGAACATAACAGTATTACCCTTTCACTCTTCTTACAGGACATGTACCAAAATATGGTACTTATTTATGTAGTCACTGTGTTTCTGGATTTTTAAATTAATAAAATTTTAATTTTGAAAAATCATCTGCAGGCAAGTTATGTGAGTGATTGACTCTGGTCAATAATGACCTTGGACTGGGTAACAGGTGGTGGATGGGCCGGGTGATTTCAGTCACCTTGACATCCCTCCCACCAAAGCATAGTAGTTAACAGTATGAACTTGACAGTCAGGCTACCTGGATTTTTAAACCAGCTGTACCCTTACCAGCTGGGTTTGTCAGTTTCCCCAGCTATAAAATGGGATAACAGTGGTACTATTGGATGCAGTCTTGCAGTGAGGATTGATTTAGTCAGTGCATATAAAGTCACCAGAACAGTGCATCCATTAATGACTATGGATAGTCAGGGGTGGCATGGCACTGAAAGGGATTTCTGGCCTTCCTTTATGCCAATGACTTAGGTTTGAAGGGGACCTCAATTTTGATCTCTGTCCAGAAATTTTTGAAGCCAAAATTTGTCTAGGGACCAGGGCAAGAGTTGTGTCATGCACACTGAACCAGACTAAATTCCCTCAGCCCCCCAATACCAACCAAACGTGTGCTGTCTACCACAGAAGTCAAAATATGACAGTGCTTCAAGAGAGCAGTCAAATGTGTCAAGTGCTGTCAACATGTCAAATAATATAAAAGCCAAAAAGTATGCAATTAGGGTTGGCAATGTGGAAGAAGAGCAGTGTCACCGGAGTCACTGGAGGAGATACCTAGTTGGAGTGGATTGTAAGAATTGAGGGGGATGAGGACTTGGAGATAGCAGTTTAAGGCCACTCATTGGAGAAGCTGTCCTGCAGAGTGTGGAGAGATGTGGTGAATGAAGTAGCAGCAGAAGGAAATGAGGTCAAAGGAAAGTCATTTTGTTTTCAGTATGGGAGCTATTTGGCCATATCAGAATACTGGTGGAGAGATACTATAGAAAGAAAAAGATTAAGGAAAGTGGGTAATGGGGGGTTAACCTGTGAGGATGAGTGAAATGCCATGACTGCATACTATACCCAGAACTCATAATTCTTGACCCACATTCTGGACAGAAGTTCAGCCTTTGGATGCTAACCCCTTCCATTAAGCTGCACCTACTTCCACAGCTCTCTTATAGCTTGGTCCCCTTTGTACCCAGCTTACTTTCTTCTGGAATAATGCTCACCTCCACTGAAGAAACTTCAAATAACTCAAACTAAACATTTTGGCTCTGTCTTGTACTCTTCCCTTTCCTTGATCAGCCATATCCAAATTTCACCCAGTCCTGTCAATTTGGTCTCCCAAATGAAGGTGATATTTGTAGGCTTTTGCTCTCAACACCTCTTGGAGAAATTTTTCCCCCACATAGTCTCCACCTGTGATTCCCAGGAAGCACCAAATATCATCTCAAGGGCACAAGAGCAAGTCTTGCCTTGTTACTGCTTGCTACCATGTTAACCACCCTTTTATTCATTTCTTCCTTTGGCTCTTGAAGGGACTCAGAATATACCCCTCAAAAATGTGCTGTGTTGGCATAAGGATTATTTTGAGCTAAAGGCAATTAAGAATCAGTATCTTCAAGAAGAGCCCTCTGTCCTCCCATTAGCTGCCAAAAAGCATGGCTGGGCTTGATGGCACATGCCTGTGACCCAGCTATTGGAGGGATGTAGGTAGGAGGATCATGGTCGGAGGCCAGCCAAAGCCAAAGAGTTTGACCCCATCTGAAGAACAAACTAAAAAGTTAAAGGGCTGGGGTGTGATGCAAGTGCAAGAGCACTTGCCTAGCAAGTGTGAGGCCCTGAGTTCAAATCTCAATAATACCAAAAAAATCAGGGCATAAATTTTCCTTTTAGGCAGGTGCCCCCTGCCCCACACCAAGCAAAGAAGAGTGACTCATCACTAAAAATGGGATGTTGACACCAAGGTGATTTTACATGAACAGACCTTACTAAAATAGCCCTTATTTTCCATTCATTCCCTCATGTGATTTCTATTTCCTAGTCACTTCCCCACAGTTTATTATCCTTTAAGGTCAAGTCCTATATCCTTTGTTAAAAGAACATAAAAGAACAGCCAGGCACTGGTGGCTCACGCCTGTAATCCTAGCAACTCAGGAGGCAGAGATCAGAAGGATCACAGTTCAAAGCCACCCCGGGCAAATAGTTCGCGAGACCCTATCTCAGAAACACCTAACACAAAAAGGGTTGGTAGAGTGGCTCAAGGTGTAGGCCCTGAGTTCAAGCAATAGTACTGCAAAATAATAATAATAATAATATATCAGCCCTTGTCTAAGAACATTTTTGAGCATCACTTCCTTTCTGTGAACTTCTGTGCATGTAAATACTAATAAAAATCAGATGCTTTTTCTTCTATTAATCTGCCTTTTGTTAGTTAAAATCACAAGTCCAGAGTCACTAAAACTAAGAAGGTAAAAGAAAAGTTCACCCTTCCCAACACCTCTCTCTATGATGGACGCTGCCAGAAGAATCTGTTCATCCACTCCATCCATCTCCACACATCTTTTGACAGTCACCACTGTGGCCAGCTGTGCTATAGCTGGTGGGGCTCCTTCTGCCGGCCTACCGGCAGCACCACAGCAGTGGTGCTGGGCGTCTTCTGTGTTCCCCAGCCTCACTGTATCCTGTGCACAAGTGAAGAAAATGCCCTCCTTCCTCCCCACCTTTGATGTTACTTTGTCACCTCACATTAAAGGAGTCAAATCATTCCTGAGTATGTTTTTGAGCACCAAGAGAGGGTCTTCGTGTGCCCCAGAGTGTCACAAGTTTTCTTGGAAACAAGACTTTCAGGTTCTACTTTCAACCATTTGCTCAAGGCTCAACAGCCAGTGGTGCAGAGTCTGCTCGAGACACAAGCCCCTAAGACACAAATGCGATTGTCCTCCAAAGTTCTTTTCTGCTTTAGGGCACATATAGTGCTCTGATTTCCACCCTCCCCCCTCCAAAAAAAAACATTCATATTAACTTCAAGGCTCCAACCACACCAATGTACCAAACACATTTGAAAATTCCCAGACACATTTGAAACCTCCAAGGTGGTTCCTTGAATTCAGGGTTCCAGTCATATCACAGAGTTCCCACAAATATTTCAAACACATTTGTAATTTTGTGCCTTTGAATATGTACTTCCCACGACTAGGATGTTCTTTACTCCTCTTTGACTGGCAAACTCCTTCCCATCCTTCAAGACTCAGCCCAAATATCAGCACCTCTGTGGAGCATTGCCTTCTCTACCATTTTTTCTTTCTCTCTATGTAGTGTATCCTCCAACCATGTTCCTGGAATTTACTATGTTCTCAGTTCCCTTTACCTAGAATCATTCCCTGATTCTCACCATCCCCTGATGTCTTTAGTTAATGAACACTTACTCATCTTTTTAAAGCTCACACTGCTCATCTCCTTGTCCACCTACTTCAGGCATGATTAGTTATTTCCTCCCCTGTGTTCCCAGGAAATAACAACCAAAGTGCATAGCCACTGTAGCAATCAGGTGGCATGCATGTTTTCTCATTTAATGCTCCCCACAGCTCTACTTGGTAGGTACCATTATCAACCTTATTTTAGAGAGGAGGACAATGAGAGCACTTCCTTTCACTGCCATTTGTCATGCACTGCATAATGACGTTTCACCAATGATGGACTGCATGTACAACAGTAGTCCCCT